CACGGGCCGCGCCGCCCACAACCGCTGGTTCGCCATCTTCGCCAACCTGCCCGTGGGCGTGCCCTACGCCGCCTCCTTCAAGAAGTACCACGTGGACCACCACCGCTACCTGGGCGGCGACGGGCTGGACGTGGACGTGCCCACGCGCCTGGAGGGCTGGCTCTTCTGCACGCCGGCCCGGAAGCTGCTCTGGCTGGTGCTGCAGCCCCTGTTCTACTCCCTGCGGCCGCTCTGCGTGAACCCCAAGGCCCTGACGCGCATGGAGGTGTTCAACGCCCTGGTCCAGCTGGCGGCCGATGCGACCATCTTCGCCCTCTGGGGGCTCAAGCCCGTGGTCTACCTGCTGGCCAGCACCCTGCTGGGCCTGGGCCTGCACCCCATCTCCGGCCACTTCGTGGCTGAGCACTACATGTTCGTCAAGGGCTACGAGACCTACTCCTACTATGGGCCCCTCAACTGGATCACCTTCAACGTGGGCTACCACATGGAGCACCACGACTTCCCCAGCATCCCCGGCTGCAACCTGCCCCTGGTAGGTGGCCGCGTGGGCAGGGGCGCAGCGGTGAGGGGTGCATGGTGTCTGAGGAGGCGGGAGGTGTGGCGCGGTGGACCTGGAGCCAGGCTCTGACCTCCTTTTCCTTTCATGCTGATCATGGGGTGGCCACGTTCTCAGTTGTGGTTCCAGGGCGAAGGGAGAGGCCGCACAGGAGAGGGGCCGGGCGTGCGCCCGGAGAGTGACAAGGTGAATCCCGGCAGGGCAGGGGCTCGAGGCGCATTTACCATTTAGACCGCTTAGTGTAAAGCAAACCTGATTGAGCCCAGCTATGGCATGTACTGGCTGTGCATCCTTGGGCAAACTGCTTGCCCTCTCTGTGCCTCTGCTTCCTCTTGTAAAACGGGGCAGCGGTAGTGATAGTGCGTGTAAAGCACCTCCCCTTCCTGGGTCCTGACTCCCTGTCCCTCCGCATTTCTTGTCACTGCCCGTGACTTTCCAGGGGCCCCACATGGCGGAGAGGACAGGGAGGGCTCTGTGACCCAAGGGGCTCGGCCTGAGTTGGTGCAGAGTGGAAGCCTCCGGGCTGGTGGCTCTGCCTTGGGAGGCCTGCGGATGGAGAATTTCTGAAGGAGGAGGGAGGGCAGGGCGGGAGGAGGAGGAGTTCAGTCTGGTGTGGGTGGGATAGAAAGAGCTGAGGTGCCCCTCGGGGCAGGAGAGGGGGCAGTGGGGTCTTCTGTGTGTGCATGGTGTGCACATGCCTTTAGGGGTTTGCATGTGTGCCTATGAGTGTGCCCGGTGTGTACATGTATGTGTGCATGTGGTTATGTGTGAGCGTTTGTCTGGGTGTGCAGGTGTTTGCGCCCTGGCCTGTGTGACCGGGTGTCTGACAGCCTGTGTGTGCAGCCCTCCCTGCCTGACCCTCCTTCCCTCCCCTCCCCCTCCCACCCTGCTGAAGGCACTGAGGTCCGGCTCTGGGCTGAGCACCACCTCACTTAAGCCTCACCACAAGCCGATTTGGCAGGTGCCCGCCTTACCCATTATCCCCATTTCACAGATGAGAAGGTAAAGGTCGAGAGGGGAGGTGCCTGTCGCAGGAAGCAGCAGAGCCAGAACCTAGACTCGGGTGGTTGTGAGAGTGTCTTTACTTCCGGGCAAAGTGAATGGCCCCCTGCTTGCGCCCATGCAGGTCACCTGGTCTCCCCGAGCCCGTCTGCACCTATAAGGCAGGCCCGGAGCACTGGTGTGCCCAGCGTGCCCTCCATGGGGGTGGTGGTGCTGCTGCTGCAGGTGCTGAGGCAGGGAGGCAGCTGAGGGTGTTGTGAGCAGGCAGGGGTGAGGAGCTGAAGGGGGACAGGGGTGAAAGATAGGCATTTGGGAAACAAGTACTGAGGCTGAGAGGTGGGCAATGGGGGGTGTGGTGGGAGCCGAGGCAGAGGGTTGGCCGGCTGGGGAGGGCACTGGAAGCGGGTGCGGAGCATGAATGACCAGGCCAGGCTGTGCCTCAGAACCGGGCAGGTGCTGGAGGGAAGACAGCCGGCCTCCCCTGGCTCCTGGGTCAGAAACTCCAGCGCAGCCCAGGGACAGGTGCATATGAACCTGGGCAGGGGGCAGAGACTGTGCTGGGGCTAGTGGCCAGCACCAGCCAGCCTCCTGCCGGGCTGAGCTGGACACAGGCACCCTGGGGATGACAGGGTGTGTGTCTCTGTGTACCCACGTGTCTGTGTGTGCACGCTCATGTGTCACTGTGTACATGCTCACGTGTTTGTGTACACACGTGTCTGTGTGTGTACATGCTCATGTGCACGTGTGTGGCAGAGGCCTGTCTGTGCCAAGGCCTGGCCTCTGACCCCCGCCTCCCCGCAGGTGCGGAAGATCGCGCCCGAGTACTACGACCACCTGCCGCAGCACCACTCGTGGGTGAAGGTGCTCTGGGACTTTGTGTTCGAGGACTCCCTGGGGCCCTACGCCAGGGTGAAGCGGGTGTGCAAGCTGGCAGGGGACGGCCTGTGAGCTGGGCCGCTGGCGCCGGCCCGTCGCTGCGGAGCTGGTGGTCACGGCCCTCAGCCTGGTGCTCAGAACTCCGTGGCTGCCTTTGGTCCTGGACCCCTGGGCTGCTGCCTGTCCCCAGGTTCCGGTACCGCGCCGGACAGCGGACACCAGCTCTGCACGTGGACTCGCTGCTGCCTCCGGCCAGGCCGCCCTTTCTGGGCCTCCTGGGGCGCCCTGACCCTGCGCTCTGTGAACAGCCTCCATGGAGGCTGATTTGTCTGGTGGGCCCCTGCCCTCAATTAAATATCAGCGTTTCTTTCCACATCCACGACGTGCTTTTGAGGGGTCTCGGCCCCAGCCTGGGCCTGGCTGCCTGGAGGCGGTCCCCACCTGCTCCCGCTCCTGCTCCCACGCGTGGGTGCTTAGCAGCATTTCCTGAGGGCCCTGCCTTTGTGGGGGGCAGCCTTTGGGGGTGTAGGCAGCAGAAGGCCCTGCATTTTTGCCAAGTCCATGTGCCCCGAAGCCCTCCCTCCTGTTCACCCTGCTGGGTGCTGCCAACGTGGCCTCCCCTCGGTCCATGTCGTCTGCTCCAGCCCCCACCCCCCAATCCAGCCTCGAGCCTGCACCCTCATGGGAAGCCTTCGGAGGCTCGAGGGTTCAGGCTTCACACCATGGGGTCTGTCCCCCCAACCAGCTGAGATGTGGGACTTGAGATTCTCACAGACCAGGGGCCACAGGCCAGACACACGGTGCCTGGACAGACAGGTGACTAGTCAGAGGGAGGCGGGTGGGTGTCCTGTGTCTCTGTGAGGGGGACATGGCTCTGCCTGACTTTGGTGAGGCCGATGGCACGGCTGACCTCGGGAGTCATCCTTCCTGTCCGCCCTGGGCCCCCCTCTCCCAGCCCCGAGACTGCAGGCCTCCTGGACTGGGAGGTGGGAGGAAGCAGGAGAGCAGCTGACGCGGGCAGCCTCTCAGAGACCGGAGCCTTGGGCCCACCTCTTGGCGGGCAGATCAACCCCCTTCCCTTCAGAGCTGAGGACACTCAGTGGGATGAATATGTCCAGAGTCTGATCAGGAAAATCGGTCCATCATCAGCCAGACTGGGGCCTGCCCCACCCCCCATCCTCCCGTGGCCCTCATGCGGCTGGGCACACTGCTGTGTCTGGTGGCCGCGCCATGGTCACTGGATTTCCAGGCCTGCCCACGGCCTAGGCCGAGTCAGACCCGCCCTGGCTGGTCTGAGAAGGGCTGGCAGGTGCCTCGGGGGCTTCCCTGTGGGGGCTCAGCAGATGCCAAGCCAACCAAGCGCTGGAGGAGGAGGGGTTCATCCTCCCGGCCCTGCTGGTCAGAACGCACACGACTCCCTCTGATGTTCCAGGCCAGGCTGCCACTCAAGACCACGTCCCACTCCCCTGTGGGTGTGGATCCCGTGGCCACCCCAGGCCCCCAGGAAGTGCCTGAACTGCCTGCTCACCCTCCCGTCCGTCCCAGGTCTGAATTCAGCCCAGCTGCCCCACAAGGCCCCCATCTTGTCCTGGTCACCACTGCCGGGAGACCTTCCCCCACAAGGGGTGCCCCAGCCAGGAGCGACCAAGAAGAGGCGCGAGAGTGAGTGGAAGCCGGGGTGTGGACAGTAAGCGTTTATTACCACGTGGACACAGACACCGAGGGGCGTGGACAGACTTCACACCGTGACGCTGGGAGGAGCTGCTGGCACAGTGCGCCAGGCCCAGGTGCGAGGGGCACCCAGGAGGAACTCGGAACCACCTAATGAAGCGTGTGGTTTGGGGGTATCTTTTCTATAAACCAAAAGAAATGTACACTTAAATAGACAAATATAAAATACAAAAAAAGGCGAGTAGACCTGGTGTTCTGTGTCAGGTAGAATCTAAAAAAATCCAGGAATTGAACTTTTCCCTCATTTTAATATTTTCTCACAGGTTAAGACTTAAGTGAAACACATCCTAGCTTCAGTGCGTGCTCGGTGGCTGGAGGCCTGGCTGTGCTCCTCTGTCCCCGCCGTCCGTCAGGGGGTTGTGGCTCGGGCCCTGCACGCTCTACGAGGTGCTGATTCCGCTCAGCTCCTGCCTGATGGCTGAGGACAGGAGGAGAGGAGAGGGCAGCTCAGCTGTGGCGGGAACCAGCCCACCTCCTCCTCCGCAGGGCCCGCCCACCTCCGGTGAGGTCGCTCCAGCGCCTCCGGTCTCCTGAGACCCAGGCTCGCAGAGGTCAGAGGCCCCGGTGAGGTCTGGGGGGATCCCCTGCACCCCCAGCTGGCAGTCTTGCTAGAGGCCCGCTGGGGTGGGGACAGTGGCTGCAGGCAGCCTTGGAGCCGGGAGGGGCAGGCAGGCACCAGGAGCCCCAGGCAGGTCTGGGCAGGTGGGCACCTCCCCACCCCCCTCCCTGGCCTGAGCTCTTCCCCCAGGAGGGCAGGGATTCTGCTTCCTCCTGTCCCCACCCCCAGGATTTCCCCCAAATCTGGGCCTTTCCCTGGACTGGGCCTGGAGCCAAGGCCACCAGAGAAAGTCCGATGAGAGCCGGGCCTTGTCAGATGAAAGGCTGCTTCCGGCCGCAGAGCCCGGACTCCCGGGCCGCTCACCGCCGAGGCAGCTCCACCTGTGCCCGCAGCCCACTGCCCCACTGCCCGCTCCCTCCCACACAGGCTGCTTCCAGCCCCAGGCAGCCCCTCCTGGGGGTCGCCCAGCTATGAAGCCGAGTTAATAGTTGGCCTGTCTCCGTCCTGGCTCCAGCTCCTTCTCGCTGTCTCTATTCATTAACTCCTTATCTGTCCAGCTCAGGCCTGCGGAGACCTGACAAACAGGAACCTAGTGTTCTCCGCTGGGACCAGGACAGGGTGTGGCTCGGTCACCCAGGTAGGCTCTCACCCTCGCCTCCTCTCTCTTCAGAGTCCCGGCAGCCCTCTGCCACCCCGCTGTGACTTCGTCCCCCGCTGGTGGGGAGCAGGTGGGGCCTGAGGCGCCTCCCTGCTGTCCGGGGCCGGCCGAGCCAGCCCTGCCGAGAGCCGTCCTCCCCTCTGGCTCCAGATCTGAGCCGCTGTATCAAAGGCTCGGTGGGGGCCCGGGCGGGTGTGACTCACGGTGGCCAGGCCCTGCCCTCTGGATCCAGGCTCTTTGGGGGAGCACCACCACCTGCTCTCCCAGCCCAGGCCACGCAGCTGGGAGCCAGGTCAGGGCCACAAAATGGCTCTGCTTCCTGGGAGGGGTGTATACTTAGCCAGTCCCTTCACTGTCTGAGCCTCAGTTTGCTTGGCTAGAGAATGGGGAGGGCCTGTGGGCTTTTAGGGGGAGAAGGAAACCTCCGAAGCACAAAGCCAAAGGCCTCCGGGGCCCTGGATGCCTCCTGGCCGGGCCGCCCTGGCTCTGCCCTCCCTCAGGACCAGGGTGAGCCCGACTCACCGTCGATGATCTCCTCCTTCACTTTGTGGAGCTCTCGGACCACCTCCTCCAGGATCTCCTGTGGGAGCAGAGCCTCAGAGGCAGGGACGGAAAGCCGGCCTTGCGGGGGTGAGGTGTTGGAAGGGGTGGGGGTGTCCTGGGCCTCCCTCCGGAGCCACAGCCCCTGCATCACCCTCACACACACCCCGGAGCCGGGGGGAGGATGGTGTGCCTGGGGGATGGGACACCCTGGTCGGCCCTGCCTGGCCTCCAGCACCTCAGGCCCCTCTGGAGTGGCCGGACGGCAGGGGATGTTTATTTCTGCGATGGGGGGCAGGGGTGGGCCTGGGGCAAATGCTACGACCCCCTCCACTGCTGGCTCCCTGACTGACTGAGGGCCCCACTGGGGTGGTCCCAGCCCTGGGCTCCTTCACAGCCTCTCAGGAAAAGACACGCTCACCTGCTTCATCCGGTCCAAATCGAAGGCATCCAGGGCCACGTCGTTCACACTCCCGGCCGGCTTCATCCTGGGGAGAGGACGGTGGGTGCAGTGAGGCAGGTGGCGGGGCCTGGCAGGCACGCACCACACCGGGGACCGAGCCTGAGCAGGGACCTGGGCGCACCAGGGCCTCCTGCTTGGGGCGGGCCCTGCGGGATGAGACTGCCCCTTCCCGTGGCCCTTCAACCCTCTTTGCTTGTATCTGTGGCCGCTCCTTAGCCACGCGAGGAGGGTTCTACCGCCGCCTCCAGGACCTCAGGATGCTGTGACCATGTTTCCCAGCCAAGAGTCAGGGCTCAGGGTCCAACTGAGGAGCTGCTCCCTGAGCTGAGAGCTCTCGCAGGCGGCAATGCCCACGTGGCCTCCCCGGGAAAGAAAACACTGACAAGCTAGTCCTCGGCGCGGGCTCTATGTTCCTGGCAAACGGGAAACCAGCAATGGCGGCATTGAGGACAACGCAAATCGCAAAACCTGAGCAGCAAACACCCGCTTAAAGGCCTGACTGCAGGCAACGGACGTGGCTTTGCTCTTTGGAGGCCGAGGTTTCCGTTTCCTGGGCTGCGTCTTTGAGAAGTTTCTGAACTAAAGCTGGTTCGAACTGTAACGTCTCTTCCACATGAATCTTTCCTGGAAAATCTTAGCAAAACACCCGATTTCTCTCCCCACATGGACAGAGAGGCGGGCGGGGCCTGCGTGTTCTGAGCAAGGACATGGCCGAACCACTGCAGGGTCCGTGGACGTGAAAGCTGGTGGACACACCGTGACCGTGATCGGATGGATGAGAGCGTGTGGTGAAATCGAGGACCGCTGTTGTCCACGGCCAGGGAGAGGAGGCGTGAAAGCTACGGTGCTGTCGTAGCCTCGCTGGGAAACAGCACGGAGGCTCCTCAGACAACGAGAAACAGAGCCAGCAAACCCACGTCTGGGTTTTATGCGAAGGAGATGCAATCGCTGGAGGAGGGAATCTTGATGAGGTACCTGCACCCCCGTGTTCGCTGCAGCATTAGCCACAGCAGTCAGGACACGGAAGCCGCCAAGTGTCCATGGACAGACGGGTGGGTAAGAAGACGTGGAACATACACATGTGGGATTATTCAGCTGTGAGACAGAGGAAGCCACGATGTGTGGCAACATGGATGGACTAGAGGGCATGAGGCTGCGTGGAATAAGCCAGGCAGAGAAAGACAGACACGGTATAATCTCACTTGTATATGGAATCTAAGAAAAAAAAAACAAACAGACTTATCAAAACAAAGAATATGTTGGTGGTTGTCCGGGGCTGGGGGGATGGGTGGAGGTGGTCCAGGGCACGCACTTCCGGTTAGCCGATGGATCCGCTCTGGGATGGTGACTGGGTGGCAACACTGCATTGTGTGCTTGAAAGTAGCTAAGGAAGCAGATCCTGAGATTCTCACCACACACACCGGTAACTAGGCGAGGCTAACTGACCTCCCTGTAATCACTGCACAGCGTACGCGCATGTCAGATACCACGCTGTACGCCTTGCACCTGCACAATGGGAGACGTCAATTGTAACTCAATACAGCTGGGAAAATCCCGCTGCCTGCCATGCAAAACTTCGGTGGTCCAGGGCACAGAACTGAATTAAAACGAACGAATAAATTAAATGCTCCCCACCCCTCCCAGATGAACTCAAGAGAGAGGCCAAACGTGGTCCCAGATGAGTTTGTAAGTAACTGTGGGTACAGCCTGGAGACCCCCAGGGCCATCACACCCATCCTGGAGGTTCAAGTCCCTGTTGCAACGGAAACCTTACGGGTCACCTGGGCCAACTGCCTCACCTCTGTGCCCCCGTTCTCTCCATACGAGGTATGTACACCCAACAGCCCCAGATGGTGGCACTGTCACACCCCGTGAGCACAGGGACACCCCTGCCGGAGGGACGGACCGCACTAGAGAACGGATCTGTCTCAGGGCTGGAGAGTCCCCTTCTGAGGGGGCACGGGCAGCCCGCCCTTCCTCCAGCAGCAGGAAGTGACCACTGTGCCCCGGACACCCTGCCCCTCCATGTACCTCCCTTTACAGCCGAGCGAGCTCCCCCAACAGCTGACAGCCCAGCGCCTGTGTCAAGGGTGCGTACCTGGGCCTGCACACAGAGTCCAATCACGAGATGCCTTCCTACCCACTGCCCTTCCTCTTCCCGTCCCACTTTGTAGCCACAGGGCCTCAGCAGTTCCATGCCTCCGATGGGAAGGTGGTCCCCCCAATCTCAGAGCCACCCAGATGCCCCTCTGAGGGAGGCCTGCCCAGCCCACTCGCTACAGCGCCTGTCCCCAGTGCTGCCTCCCATGTGACCCTCCGAGCTTCCCGAGCACCTGTCAGAACCCACAGCCGTCCAACCACAGGCCTTCCCAGCAGAGATGAGGTCCCTGCAGGCAGGATGAGGAGGACCCCGCCCAGACCTGGCAGACACAGGCCCTGGACAAGCCCTGGCTGTCCCCGAGTCCTCTCCCTGCTCACTGAGTGTGTCATCGACCCTCTGGCCAGGGCCAGGCCAGCGCGCTCTGCTCATCCCCCCTTTCGCTCTGCAAGACCAGCCTCAGATGCCACCTGCTCTGCCATACGAGGGGCTTCCCTCAATCTTGGTGGTCAATGGAGACATTTCTTACCCCGGTTCTGAAGCCTGCGGTTCAGGTCAACTTGGCCTCTGGTTACTATGGGGCTGCTAGTCTCTGACTTTCGGGGCTTCCTCAGTTTCAAATATCCTATCCTGTTACCACACCAGCTCTTGGTTTGGGAAACATGGTCAGCATCCGCCCAGGAACCTGGCTGTGCGTGCTGTACGCGGAGGAAGGCGAAGAGGCGGGGCGCCAGGCCAGGCCCCGCATGGCTGAGCTGTGGGGCGCCGCTGTGGCTAGTGAGCACTTCCTGCGTCCAGCTCCTGTCCACACAGCTGTCCACACGGCCGCCCGTGAGGCAGAGGCCGACAGACTCTTCATGGGGTGGGGGTGGGGTGTGCCCAACGACACAGAGCCCAGAGCTGGGACTCCCTTCAGCTCCGCTCACGCCCCTTCGGGCCGGTCGCCCTCCCGCCCGTCTCTCCCTCCCTGAGAGGGAGGAGGAAGCAGTCCCCAGCCGGAGCACCGTTAGACGACAGGACAGACACAGGGTCTGGTGTTAGTCACAGGCAGGGGACAATGGAGGCCCCAGAGAGGGGCGTTCGGTACCTAGAGTGAGGCTGCGACTGAAGGGGGCTCTTAGCTTCGGGGCTCTTGGCCACAGACGGGGTTCTAGGGCAGGGGAATGAAACAGACACGTGAATGGGCACCGTGGCGGCCTCGGCCCCACCGACGGCGCAGCTCGAGCCTCCGAGGGGCCGCTCACCTGGACAGCAATGAGGACACGGGCTTCTCCACGGAGTTGCTCCGCTCCCAGGGCTTCCGGCCGGCCTCTGTCAAGTCAGGTCAGGACGAGGAGCCTTAGGGCTGAGAGGACCCAGGCCCCGCCCAACATCCCTGACAGGAGGGCCCCCCCTCCCCCCGTGCCCTTCAGGAAGCTCTGCTTTGGGGGAGCTGATGCCTGGCTTGTCCTCAGTCCCCCTTGGGCCCAGGCAGCTCTTGCAGGCTGTGGATGACCCTGCTGTCACCCGTGTCTCCCCCACTCAGGACCCGGCTGGCCTTGACGTGTGGTCTGGTTTTGAGCCTCACCATGAAAGCCCACCTTCCTTAAAGTGCGAACCAAGTGCCAGGGAGCTCTCAGCTACGCCCTCTGCCGTCGAAGTGGCGCCAACAGGGGGTGAGCGGGCAGAGAAAGCCACGCCAGGTGCTCGGCCAGCCTGAGGCCCACGTTTGCTTTTGGGGGCCAGGCCCCTGGGGCCCCACGAGCACCTGCTGTCCTCTGACTCGTTGGTGCTCCCCACAGGACAGCTGGCCCTTCCCTATCCTGGGCGTGAGGGCTGGTTTGTTTTTTCTTCCTCTTTTTTAAATTAAGTGGCATTAAATTATAGTTCCCTTTTGTCAAGAGATCTGTCAAACTGAATGGAATTCACTGACTTTGTGGATGAGCAGAGAGGCAGAAGGGAAAATGCCCAGGCAGCAGAGAGGCCGACCCCAGGCCAAGGCAGGTCTCCTGAAAGCCACCCCTGGGACCTGCTGGCACAGGAGCTGGGACACATCTACGCTGCAGGCGTGTGGCCCTGAGCGAACCATGTAACTACACTGAGCTTCGACCTCCTACACTGGGCCAACACCAGCCCCGTGGCCTGGCGGGAGGTATTTACACACTCGTTCACCGAGAGCCCACGCGGCATCCCACGGAGCAGTCCTGCCAGGGAGGCAGACGCGCTAACAGAGCGGGGCAGGTCAGAGCTCCTGCCCTGGACAGGCTGGCAGGCAGCACTCCTCTCGTGTGGGGAAGACAGGGCTGGGTGGGTGGGTTCTGTGGCCTGGCAGCTCCGATGCCCACAGGCAGCCATCCCCTGGACGCTAGCACTCCTTGCCCTGGCCACCGAGGGAGCCTGGGGCTCACCAGAGTGGTGGCTTTGGGGGAGGTGGCAGGGAGGCCCCTAGCGCAGCCCCTCTGGCCGTCTCTGCTCATTCGTAAAGTGAGGCGGAGGGACCGGATCATGTTCCTGTGGGAGTGCCTCCTGCTCTGAGACCCTGGCCCGCACAGGCGGGCAGGGCGCCTCTTACCTGAGGAGTTGGGTGGCAGGCTGGCTGCTCGGGTACCCGGAGATGGAGAGGTGCTGGGCTCTTCCTAAAATGGGAGAAAAGCTTGGCCGTCAGTCTGCTTATGAAGGCTGTTGAGCTGTGACCAGGGCCATCTAGAAAACGCTAGGTTTTTTCTTAGGGAACATGTTACTTTTGTAATCGGCAAAATAATGAGTGTTATTAACAAATGAAACCCCAAGTCCGGGTGAGAGGTGGTCTGGCCCATGGAATCAGGGAAGGAGAGGGCTGCAGGGAGACACAGGCTCCTGCCTAGTGGGGCAGACTCTACGGCTGCACCAACCTGATGCAGCCCACCAAGGGCCCGGCCCTCCGCACAACAGCGGCCTGAGCTCCTGGGTGTGCCTGCCACTCTGGGCCCAGGAGCAGCTTCTGCCTTGCTGTCCACTGTGAGGGGAGTAGCCAGGTGGGACCCACCTAAGGGACCGCTGCTCTTTGGGCGGCTCCGCCTCTGATGGCTGATGTGAGGACCAGATGTCTGGGTGACCTAGAGGGTGCTGTGGCCACCCACAGCCCACTTCCCAGGGACCAGGCTGTGGGATGCTTCACTTGTCCTTCACCAGAGAGGTGGTTCTGAGAATCTATCCTAAGGTATCTCTGTCCCCATCAGCCCACAAGTTCATGAACATTGCTGCCAAAATGTGTTCTAAACGCTAGGTCTGTCCCTCACCCCCTCTGTGGAAAGTCTCTGGAGTCACCTGGCGGGAGGTGGAGGCAGCGTGATAGGTGGGTGGGCAGAGCCGCCTCCTGGGCCCTCGGCCTATCTGTGCTTCTGCTGACGCTGCTCCCTGCGCTGCGCTCTCTGCTCTGGTCTCGGCCTTGAAGCTCAGGGCAAACGGCGCTTCTCGTGGGCGCCCCAGGGGGCTTTCGGGGTTCCTCCTTCAGCTCCCAGGGCCCCTGGTGCTCCTTCTCTCTCTACCCTCAGTATTTCCTGTGTCCCCTCCCTCCAGGGCAGAGGCCACATCCTGCCCATCTCTGGGGCCCCAGCACGTGCACGGCCTGGCCCACGGCGGAGCTTCTCTGCCAGTCGCACAGCTGGTGCGGCTGCCTGGCCGGCGTGCCACAGGGCTGTGGGTGGGACTGGTCGTTAGAGCCTAACTGGCTGGTGCCATGCCGTGGGGATGACAGTGAGTGCTCTGCAGGCCCTCCTGTCGTCCTCCTCCTGTCCCCCTGCCCATCGCTCCTGCAGATCACCTGGGGACGTACCTATCATGTGCACCAAGTGCACCGCATGCCCCAAGGCCTGGCATGGGGCCAGAGAGCCTTCCCGGGTATTCACGCAGGTGGGGGTGCGAGGGGCGCTTGCTCACCGTTTGGCTTTCGTCTTCCTTTTTATCAGCCGGCTTGTCTGTCTGGGAGGCTGCTTTTCTCCTAACACAGAGCAAGAAGCAGCAAATCAGCTCTGGGAGGTTCTGCACCCACCCAGACGCCTCTGTGTGGACACACTTGGTCCTCAGAGGATCCCGTGGGGGGATCGGACCCATTCTGAAGCCCCTTCTGGTCTGTGGCGAAGTGTCCAGATCTTCTGTGCTGGTCCCATGACCCTGGACACGAAACTGGCCTGGCCACATGGGACGGGAGAGGAGCCCGTCTAGGCCGCGACCTGCCGGCCAGGGCCGTGGGAGCATTTCATCTGCGGGCCACTGCCTGGTGAGCAGACCACCTTGCGGGAGGAAGGAGGGACCCTTTTTGTTCTACCCAGCATGGACCACCACTGAGAACGGACATGCTCAGGAAAGGAAAGACTCTGAATAGCTGAGCCGATGCCTCTAGACAACTCATGCGTTTCCCACAAACTTTAAAATCTCACCTAAGTGGCCGCCAATATGTGAGATGGGAAAAGTGAGCTTTGAAATAACGCCCGACACCCAAATCTACACATGTAGACCATCGATATTCCTGCCGTTGGGACCTTCAGCTCTGTGAAGCTGCCCGTGCACACAACTCTTAGATATGGGGGGTGAGCAACCCATCAAGAAGGAAGCTGATGCCCGGCCAGTGTGGCGGTCATGGTTCGATTCCCGGTTGGGGCACCTGGCCGGGTTGTGGGCTTGATCCCCAGTAGGGGTCATGCAGGAAGCAGCCAAGCAATGATTCTCTCTCATCATTGATGTTTCTCTCTCTCTCCCGCTCCCTTCCTCTCTGAAATCAATAAAAAAAATATTTTAAATATGAGAAAAAAGGAAGCCGGCCCCACGAGTGGTGAGGGGCTGCAGGTCCACGCACCTATCGCTCCTCAGACACCATCTTCCTCCCCACACAGCCAGGCAGGTCGCTTCTCCCCCTGCTTTATTTCGAATCTGCCTTTCCCCATCTCACTTTGGACAACTGGTGCAAGCCACTATCATCGCTTCCTGGACGACAGTGGTGTGCTCCCTGGCCCACCCGCTGTCACTCTGCTCCGTGACGTTCTGCTCCCACCCTAAGCAGGCCAGGCCACGCCAGCCCGGTGGCGCTGCAGGGAGAGGAGGCAGTCTGCCATTACCTGCATGAAGAAGTGGGCTCCACCACATCCACCTCTTGGTGGATGTCAAAGAGCAACTCAAGTAATCCTGCCGAGTTGTGCAAATGTGTTTGTTCTCGGTAGAGCCCACCAGCATCTGGGCGTCCCACCCGCTCTTGGCAATGCGCCTTTTCCGGTTCTCAGGAACTTCCTCTCCCTTTGGTCTAGGGGCCATCTAGGCCAAGCTGTCATTGTTAACGTGTTAGTTTTGGACTCGGGGCAAGAGTGAATGTTTTCTTTTTGAAAAACACCTTCTGTTTTTCCAGGAGGCCCCGTTCACCTCTCTGAGATAGAATCCAACGCACCTGCGAGGAGGTTGTGTTCTCCACTCCCAGGACTCAGGGTGCGGCTCAGCCTTCCCAGGCACTGACCCCTCCACCCTCTGCTCTTGTTTTGCCTGGACTGCTGTTCTCTCCCACCTCAGCCCCAGAAGTGTTCTTGTCCTTCAAGGCCGAGCATGTGTGGAACCTCCTCTGTGAAGCCCTCCCGGCTCTCTCCCACAGGGAGCTGTTCCCACCATGGTGCAGCCGCGGTCACCCTGCACCTGGTCACTGTCTGTCCCCTCTTGGTTACCTCTATATGCTCAGGCCCTGCTGCAGGCTCGGGAGGCCTTGGGCAGGAAATGCTGGCTCTGCCCCAGCTGAGAAGTGACAGACCAGCTACCTGCACGCTGGGGCCTCTGCTCCCACCTCACCCTCACAGAGCCAAGCAGATTTAAGGAGGTGAAACAGGACACGAAGACCCCGGGCACACAGAGAGCTCGCACTCAGCTGACTTGGAGGGCAGAGGGAAGAGCCCGGAGGGTGAAAGCAGGCAGGAGGGGTCTCGGCTGGAGCAAGGTCCCGGCCCTGGCTTTTCTTGGACCACAGGGGTCATCCGACAGGTGAGCCATGACACCGGGACCTGTCAGGGCATTCCTGCCGCCACGCCACATTAACGAGTAAAATCACGTTTTGCAACCCTTCCAAGGAACTGTGTGATCTCTCCACCTGCTCAGGTTTCATCTGGGGAACAACTAAGAGCCAGTGACAGGCTAGTGGCCTTGGGCAAGCTGGAGCCACACCAGCGGGTGTGGGCAGAGACGTGGCTGGCAGGCCGCAGGGCCCAATAGGACACGGATGGAACTGTTCCTCCACCTCAGGGTGACGTCCTCCGGGCTCTGGCCACCTCACAGTCCCCTTTCCTGTGTCCTCCATCACGGCCCTCACGTGGGGCAGCCACACCGCCCAGCCCTGGCCCACACCTTGTTTGTGTTGGGATCCTAAGTGCAGGGAATACTCCTCATTTCCCTCTGAAACTATCGCCCAGTTTCTCCCTTCTCAGGACGGCTGTACTTGAAAGGTGCTTCAATACTTGTTACACTGAAGTGGGGGCAGCTTTAAAGTTCACGGACCCCTTTCGGCCTGACGCCTCAGACTGACCCCAGGAGAAGAGGAAACTTAAGGGTTGTCCGCCTGGTTGAGCCCAGGTGACAAGGCGTCCTGGGCTCAGGCAAGAGCTCTCCTTCGGTGCTGGGGCCGCTGAGGTGCGCAAATACCCCGAACGCCCTAAAACCCCCTAAACCCCTACCTCTTGGCCAGCAGCTTGTTCATCTCTTCCATGAGGCCTCCTCCTCCGCCCCCACTGCTCGCCCGATTGGCGTCAGACTTGGAGGTCCCGCTGGGACTGGAGCCTCCGGACGCATCTTCGGGCTGCGGGGAAGGACCAGCGTTTAGTCTGCTGTCGTGGTGGATGTCACTCGAGGGGATCATGGGGACGTGTGTGAGTGTGATTCCCATGATGGCAGCGCAGAAGAGGCCCGAGGGGTCGAGTCCCATCCCCCCGACCCACAGGTGACAAACAGAGAGGGACCAGGCCTGGCCGGTCACAGTGGATGCTCTCCTGGCCCCCAGCGTGACCTGAGGGGAGGAGACAATCCTTGGGATGGAAGCTGGCCTCCCATCAGAGGTGTCCGAGCCCCGGCCTCGGTCCAGGAGCTCTGCCTTCCAGCAGTGGGCGGAAGGAAGGGCCCAGGAAGTAAGGCTGGGCCTGAGGGGGCTGGTTTCCATGAGAAGCACTGATGGAGGGATGGACCCGGGGCCCAAGTCCTAACTGCGCCTGATGAGGGAACCACTTCCTGCCCTGCTGTGAAGGTCACTGTGAGGATCACAGCAGGTTACAAAGCTGCAAGCGGCTCCTGGTCTACCCAGTGCCGTCCTGTCCGGTTCTCACTGAAAACAGTTGGCAGAGGTGGTGTCCAGATTGGGGAGGGCGGGGCTTTGCTCGGGGTGTCAGGGACAGGGGAAGGCTCTGTCCATTCGGCAGTTAGAAACTGGCCCCCAGCCCATCCGGCCTGTGCTCAGGGACACTTACCCGCTGGACCCTCCTCAGCTTGGCCCCCGCCAGGGCAGCAGCCAGTCCTGACACGGAGCTCTCGTCGTGGCTGGCGCCCTGGGCTCCTCCGGCTGGCAGTGGGG